TTATTGACCTCAAACAAGTTAGATTAGTCATAAAATAACAAAGCATTAATATATGTAAGTCTCAAAAGATGTTATATTTGTTTCTTTGAATTAGAGGTTGAAATTAAGTTATCTAAGGATTAGTTCCAAGATAGCATCAGAAAACATCTTTAGTACAGATTTTCTTTTTGGGCAACAGATAAAATTGAGGTATGTTAATTCACATAATGCTTACTTATTACTGGTGTTTTTTGGAAGGGGGTGGGAATAACGGAACATATGTTTGTTATAAATGTGTAAGTTTGCATAAGATTTATAGTTAATATTTTCATGTTAAAAATGTTAATGTTATTTTGAATTATATTCCAAAATTCTGGAATTTGACCTTTTTTAGTTTTTGAAGACATTTTTCCCAACTAATGAAAAAGTTATATGGTAAGTTTCCCTTTGGAATAGATTTCATAATGTTTTATGACAATAGATAAACCTTTATGTGTGGTTCGATGCAGTCTTATTTACTCTATATGTCATTTTTATGTGATAAAAATGACTTCAGTCATCAAGTGAAGGATTCTTACCATTTTGTATTGCAGGTCTAGAGCTAATCTAATCTAATCTGATTATCATATTTTAAGTAATAATATCATGTATTTGATTCTGTTTTATAGTGCATTATTGAAACAAAATCTCCATGAGATATCTGCACTAATTATCAAAACAAATAGTTGTAAACAGTAATTGAAGTCATTGAATATTATCTCTGACTCTAGTTTTTCTTGAAATGGGCATGTTGGTAATAATAAAAAATCTTTTCCAAAATATTACATTGAATATACTAAATAAATATATTCTGGTTTTTGCTGATAATATTTGGAGAAGCTCATGTTATGACAGTCTTTTCCCAGTAATTTATCTAGTTCTTATGAAATGTATTTTAAAAATAGAAACACTCAACACTAATCTTGGGAAATATTTTATCTTGTTTTTATGTTGTATTTGTGTTGTCAGAGATAATCTTGATTGCTTTCTTATATGGTTTCCAAAGTTTATAAATCCATCCATCCATCTTAGTTTTCTAGTTTTCTTTTGCATTAATTTCCAAGTAAAACTAGCCTACATGTTTGAATTTTAGTAGAATTATTATAATCTAGCAACTCCTTATGCAATAAGTGCTTTTAACTTTTTAGGCTCAGTATCCTTCAATATCTTCATAAATGAGTTAGATCAGGGAATAGAAAGGGAACTGTTCAGATCTGCAGGTGATGATACTAAGCTAGGCTCAAGATCCAGATGGATCTTGATAGACTGGAACACTGGGCCCTATCTAATAAAATGAAATTCAGTAGAGAAAAGTACAGTTTTATGCACATGTACACGTAGAGCTTAGTAAAACCTGGCTCAATAGAAATAACTCTGAGAGGGATCTTGGAGTCCTACTGGACAATAACTGAAATATGAGCCAGCAGTGTGTGGCAACAGGCAAAAAAACTAATGCAGTCTCAGGTTGCATT